TCGTTTTTTGGTTACTAAAGCAGGAGAAAAAAGGCAATTCCTTGCAAAATTTCACATTTGTGGACATTTATTTGTCCAAATTTTAATTGAAACCTTTTATGAAAATTGAAAGAAATGGAAAAATTCAAATCCAATTTTTTTTTTATTTTCTTTGAGTTTTACATTTTCTAGAAATTTAATATTTGTTTCATGAAATTGAAAATGTATCAATATTTTTTAAATAAAATTGTGAATTTTTGAAAATTGCAAACAAATTTAAAATCCATTAATTTATTATCTACCAAAAAATAAATTAATTAAAATCGGATGAATGATTACTTTGTTATCTATGCAATTTTAAAAATTCTGTATTATTTTTTTACCCCTTTTTTGTGTGAAATGAACATGAGAACTCAATCTTCGGCAATTAGCTGAACATCATTTGAATATTTTTTATTCTACTTAAAATTTAGAAGATTATGCACAGACAAAAAAAAATCGAAACTGGTTTAGATGATTGCAACAAACAGAATATTGAAAAAATAAACTGATTAATTGAGTCTTAATTGCAAAGAGATTAATACCCGTAGAATAGTCAATAACAGCAATAACAGAAAAAAATGGATATTCAAGACAAAAAAAAAAAGTTATTAAATGAAACCCCCAACACATTAAAAGGCAACCCCAAAATGAATAATAATAAATGGATAAAACATTCGTAATTGAAAGTGAAAAGAAGATACGAATTTGGCAGGAAAATATTGCAATTTTAAACATTTTATTTTAAACAAAACGACCTGTGTGTCATGTGATTGGAATAATTGATTTCAGAATTATATAGCTATGGAAAATGCAATACATCAAAGTTTATAAAAAATCCATTATTTACTTTAATTTCGTAGTTTTAAAAAAGGTATTTTTCTTTTATTTATTGAAATTTTGACATTTTTTTAAAAAAATTTAGTAAATGTCAAAAAATTCTCATAAAAATATTAATAATTTGTTGGAAATTCGGAACTTCCATCCCTGTTTACCCGGGAGGGACATTTCATTTGTACAATTGCAATTATAAACCAGTGTTACACAAAATCAGGTCATTGGAAATATTATCTTTTCAATATTATTTAGTACTAATTTCTATTTTCCATCCCTGATCTCAATTGTCAATTCCTTCATTGTTTTCATTATTCATTGCTAGTTACAGAGAAATTGTATGCCGTTAATAGTAAGGCATTTTGCCAAAGTCTCTTCTCTCCTCTTTCTCTTTGTACTGAGAGACAAAACAAAGAGCTTGCTTCAAATTGACGAGTCCGAAAAAAACAACAAAATAAAGAGAGAGAGAGAGCGAAAGAGATGATCGCCATTTTGTGCAAGCTCCTTGTGTCAAATTTCATTTGCAAAACAAAATGAAGAAAACAGGGTTGCCAGTGCATAGAAAAGCTTTTCTTATGTAAGGAAATGCCCAAATCTCTTGGTTTTGTGTCTTAACTAGAATTTTTGAGTTTTTCAATGGGGAAAGGTCAAGGGAATTTGATATTTCATTAATTTTTTTTCTTTTTACATATTATTCAATAACATTTACTGGCATGATATTTAGTTAACAACAATTATAGGTATTTTGTATAGTTATCTTCTTTTTTTTAATACATTTAAGTAAGTTCTTTTTTTTTGTCAACATGATAATTTTGTTTTGTTACTTAAATATTTGTTTTTGTTTTCACATGTTTGTTTTTGGATTTGTTTTTTAATGAGGTAATTTGATGCTTTGATTTGATTTCATTTGATTTGTTGTTAATTACAATTGTTTAGCATATATGTATATATTTTCATGTGTGTTTTTCTGCTTGACATTTATATATAGTTTACACGTTTGTTTGTTTTCAGTTTACCTATATAATATGCAAGTTAAACCTATTCTTTGACAAATAGGAAGGCATTTTTTGCTTTTGATTTTTCTTGTTTCTTATTCAATTTGTTTTATGGTTTTAAGTGTTTTTTTAATTGATAATTTATTTTGTAACTTCAAACGACATTTTTTTTTTGTTTTGAAATGTATTTGTGAAAAAAATATATGGAGTTTTGGGATCCAAAACATAACCGAACCCAAGTTGTTTTAATGGACTTAAATGTTAAAAAAATGGAAGCCGATAAAGAGAAAATTCGAAAATCGACTTTAAAATCAAAATTAATGGAGCCGATGAAAAAAATTGAAAATCGACTTTGAAATCAATCAATCAATGGAATATTTATAAAAAATATTTTAAAGGGTAAAAAAAAATTAATGGAGTAGCTATAAAAAATATTTTAAAATATTTCTTTACACTTTTTGTTAGTGTGGGAAGTTGAACGAAAAAAACTTCTGGAATCCTGCACTGAAAATTTCACGATGTTTTAGGAAAATTTCTGTAATTTCCGCTTGGATTTCCCGGTAAGGAAAACTCTGCTTTAGGAGAGGCCAGCCAAAGCCGACATTTTTCTTATTTGTTTCCCTTATTTGCAAGGTTTTTTTAATGAAATTCGTTATGCCAGGCTTCTGAGTGACAAGGACAAATTTGACATATGTGGCGCGCAAATTCACAAAATTTTCTCTGATTCTGAATTGTCTCAATGTAAGTTTCATGTTAAAAAATTCAATTTATAGAAGGAGGGAAAAAACTAAAAACTTTTTAGACCAAAAAAAAATCGTAACATGTATCTAATGAAAATGTTTCGGATATTGTAACAATCAAGATTTAGAAATCTATTGGGCGCCATAATTAACAATTTATATATATTTTTAATATTTATTGAAAAAAGTCCGCAATGTAAAAAACCATATTATTTGAAAAAAATTCCTATAAGATATTCTTTTTGAGACAAAAAAAAGTTCTTTGGATAAAAATCCTCTAATATTTTTCTTATTTTCCCAGACATAGAATATTTTCCCAAAATATATGTTTGTGTGAGGAAGAATTTTTGTTTTATTTTTTTTGAAGTGGGAATATAAATTTTCCTGCAAAAAGGCAATGTATTTTTAAAAACCTTCGCGATTGATTATGGCGCCCAAATAAAAAAAATACTGAAAAATGTTTCTTATTATTAATTCTCTGCTTCTAGTTATTAATTTGTTCTCTGGGAAAAGGTAAATCTTCTAAAAAAAATTTGCCCACAAATCCCGGAAAAAGTTCGAAATATTATGGCAATCCTACAGAATCGATCAATCAGCCAATTAGTGCTCTGTTCCAGAATCTGCAAGAATCTACTAGTTTTGCAAAGTTTTTCCGATATTATAAAGGAAAAATCGGTTATTATAGTAGAAACTTGCACATTCTTGCGGTTCTGGAACAGACTATAGATGTCAGCCATCTTGCAACTTTTTTTTAACTGGTCGAAATTTGTTGTCTCTGTTTTTTGGGAACGAATTTTTTTTCGTCCATTTGAAAATACTAAAAAATTACAGAATTTTTTCTACGTTTTCTTTTTTTAATATTTTATATTTTTAAAGGGTTCTTTGATTCTGAAGTTATTTGGAATTTTTTTTAATTTTTAGGAAGAAAGTTGATTTTTTGCTTGTTTTTATATGTCGAACATTTTCAGCTTTTTTTGCGACATTTTATGGCTTGTGGGAACACTGTTGGTTCAGGTCTTCCCCTGTGAGAAATAACTGAAATAATTCGGGTTTCGAAGATTCAGTTAATGACATGTGGGAACACTGTTGATTATGGTCTTCCCCAGTGCGGAATAATGAATCAAATTTTCCGCTAGTTTTTACTTTGTCGAAAACCTTCTGCATTTTTTAGGACATTTTATGGCTTGTGGGAACACTGTTGGTTCAAATCTTCTATAGTGTGAAAATACTGAAACTAATTTGGGTATCGAGGAATCATTTAATAGCATGTGGGAACACTGTTAGTTAAGATTTTCCCTAGTGTGAAAATACTAAAATTGAATGGCATGTGGGAACCCTGTTGCTTAAGAGCTTCCCCAGTGTGAAAATAATGAAACTAATATGCGTTCCGAGGAACCATCTGATTTTTAGGCCATTAAAAATTCTTTCCCTGATAATAGGAGATTTTATCTACAAAATATTTCTTGGACTCCCTGAAGTAAAAGAAATTCCTCAACTGTTTCCCATTTCATCGCAATGTTATATATTTTGATGGCGATAAATTTTAAATATGGCTCTGGGATTCTCATTATAAAAGTATGTTTATATTTCAAATCTCTAAGGAGATTAACCCTGAAAATTGACCAATCACAATAAAAAAAACTTATTGTGATTAGTAAATTATCAGTATTAATCTGGGTAGAGATTTGGAATGTAAACGCACTTCTCTATCGCTTTTCCATTTTTATTTTAAATATCCCAAAATTTTTCTGTTGATGTTTGAAGTTACAAAATAAATTTCTTAATTTCAAATTTTATTGTTTCTTTATTTTTATTTTACAAAAAATAAATCTTTTTTTTTTTTTTTGTTAAAAAGTTGATGCAAAAAAATCTTATAAACTGCTGCAATAAAAAATAAGTGTATTTTTTCTCTTATACATATTTTTAAATAATTTTGTTTCGTTTTAGTTATTTTCTTTTATAGATAAAGCACATTATGTTGTTTTTTTGTTGGTTATAGTTGTGGTTTTCTTATATTTAAATGATTTTTTCTTTATACAAACTATTGTAAACAAAAAAAAATACAAAAAAAAATAATTTAAAGCACTTTTGTGTGAAAATTTAATTTAAGGCTTGTTTTAGAGTTCCCAATATTTATTATTTCTCTTTAAATTTGAGTTTGAAGACACTTTGTTTTGTAAACGGAAACTAAAAAAAATAATTTAACAAAATTAATTTTTTAAGAATGTAATGAAAAATATTATGTTTTTTTCGATTTTTTCTTAAATATAAACACACCTAATGAAAAAAATATGTTTCTTTTTGAAGATAATATCGCCGTTACATGTTTGGTTGTTTGATACCTAAACTTAATTATTTTTAAATATTTTTAAGTTATAAAATAAGAGCACATTTAGTAGTTGTTTAATGAGTGTTTGTTTTTGTTTTTTCGTAAAATATATATTTAAATATAATTTTTTTCAACATTTAAGGCATTACTTTTTTTTCTTTGTTTTCCGTTGTTGTTGTTGTTGTTATAGGCATTTGTTAGTTTCCTTGTAGTTAATAATAATTTGTGTTTTTTTGTTTTTGTTTTTTATCACTAGGTAATGAAATATCATTTAAATAATTAAGATTTAAAAAAAAACATAAAGATAAAGCCAAAGTTTTATTTTTAGAGGGGAGTAGTATAATTTTCCTTAAACAATTTCTTTTTACAATTAATCTCGATTTTTTTGTTGTTGTTAAACTTAAATTTTAGTTTTGTTTTTAATTTTGCACACACACATAAACTAAAAATAATAATTACTGTTGTAGGTTTTTTTTTGCTTTACTTGAATTTTGTTTTTATTTTTTCTTCTATGTATTTGATATTCCAATTTGTTTGTTTTTTGTTAAATTATTTTTCTCTTAAATAGAAAAAATTCACAAATAAATTAAAACTTTTTTTAATGGAATGCATTGAAAGACAATTAATTTTTTGTTTATTTAATTGATTGTTTCTATTTTTAGTTTTGTTTTGCATTTTTTTTCTTTGTTGTAAACAAATTGAGGTAGTTGGGCTCTAAAAAAGTTTTACCAGAAAACAAATCTGTGGGATTTTCTGAAAATGGCATAATTCAATTAATGGCATCCCTACAGAGAGGAGAATTGACTGTCAACAATATTCGAGACCCAAAACTGATGGCAACCACAACAGAGAAAAACACACTCACACACGGTTTTTTCAATTTCTCATGGAAACGAAGAAAGAGTAATTTCAGGGAGAAATGGGGGATAAGATAAAAAGATAGAGAGAGAGAAGCCATTTGCAAAGGGGAACCGGAAATCAATGCCAGTGATATCAATGCAGCGTTTTTACAATGCAAATTTTTCAGCATGAACACATGGAAAAAATGTAATGTGATAAAGTACGAAAGAGAGAGAGATAGAGAAATTGCATCAATTATTGCCAGAGAGGAGGAATGAAAACAAAATGCTGGACTTCAGAGATGGAAATTGTTTTCAATGGAAAAAAAAAACTTATTTTACAGGATTCTTAAGGAAAAACAAAATGGAGAACGACAGAGATGGAAGTTGGTTTCTTTAATAGAATACCTTTTTGTAGAATTCTTATTGATCAGATCCTGCAAGAATCTACTATTTTTGCAATTTTTTCCGATACTATAAAGGGAAAATTTTGTATATTCTTGCAGTTCTGGAACGGACCATATTTCTTTGAATATTTAATGGGTTTTCAGTAAAAGCCGTCTTAATATGAAAAATTCGGGGAAGGTAAGGTATGAAGTAGCACCTGAAGATATTCTCGATAAAATGAACCACTCTAATTTCGCATTTCCATCAAAAACTTACAGGAGGTTTCAATTCATCAAAGTCTTCTTCACACATGAAATCTTTGGGAGGGTTTCTTCGATACATAGAAGATATTCTGGAGGCCTTTTTGACATTGAGGACCTCTTTAAGGTCTTCTATTAAGACCTGGGAAAATGATTTAGAACCTTCACCTTTTTTTAATAAAATCCAAAATCCTTAAAAGGCCTCTTAAGCCTCCTCGAAGGACCAAAAAGTACTTAAATGGATCTAGTTAATTTGGGAAGGCATATAAAATCAACAAAGTAGTTGAAAATATCTTTTCTCAAGTTCTAAATATCGTGAAAGGTTCAAAAACCTTGTCTGAAACTTTTGGGAAATTTTGGACTTCCATTTCTGCTTAAGCGAGGCGTTCAAGTCCTTTTTGTCTGTGAAAACAATAGTTAGTAGATCTTCTGACCAAATAAAGGTCTCAATATTGCCTTTAAGCCTCCTCGAAGGACCAAAAATGTCATGAATATTCTTATCGCAAAAATTGAAGTGATTCAATGGCCTAAAAGAACTTTTTTGAATAAAATATCAGAGAAAGACCCTCTATTTCCAAGTAGAATTTTGGGAAATTTAGGATTCCCATCCCTGTCTGAGGGAGGTCTTGTCGTCGTTTTTGTTTGCAAAAATAATCGTTAGTAGATCTTCTGGAAATATAGTTGGTAATCATCCTTTTGTTTATTTTTTTCCAGAAATTCAAGATTCTCTTCTTTGAATCAACGATGCCAATTTGTATTCATTTTATAATTTTTGTGTATTTTTTAAATTATATTTTCCATGCCTGAACAATTGAAGTGATTCAATGGGCTCAAAGAGCTTTTTGGAATAAAATATCAGAGAAAGACCCTCTATTTCCTAGTAGAAATTAAAGAAAATTTAGGATTCCAATCCCTGTCTGAGGGAGGTCTTGGTCAAGGTCAAGATTCTTTGAATCAATGATGCCAATTGGTACTCATTTTATCATTTTTGTGTATTTTTAAATTATATTTTCCATGCCTGATTCAAACTGACGTTTTCAAGAAACATGTTTTTCTTTCATCACAAAAAATACGTTTTTTATACATCATCTCTCATTCGTTTTTAATTGAAATTTCCCATCTCTGATTTAATAGCACCAATTACATATTTCTTTATTATTGTGAATCTATCGAAAATGTAGGAGGTCCACAAAGTTCCTTTTTGTGAATTTTTATTTTAAATTGAACATTTCTACCCCTGCTGCAATGTTAGCAATTTGGCAGTTTTTTTATCTCTCATTTCTCTTCCCTCTTTAATGTTACCAATTTGGCGTTTTTTTATCTCTCATTAAATAACACATTTCTCACTTTTCTCAATCTGACAACTCAATTAATTGATTTACCAAAGAAAGAGATAGTGAGAGCGAGTATTGCAATAACGGAAGTGGTCTAACAAAGAGTTAACGGAAGTAGATTTTCTTAATGGAAATACACACACACGCACACGAAAATACCACAACTAAGCTCTCGATAATTATTAAGGTGGGTCGTCATTAAAATTGATTGCTTAATAGGCAAACGGAGAGGAAGAAGACAAAACTTACAAAAACAAACGAAAAAAAATTCTTAAAATAAACACAAGACAACTATCAAAATGGAAGACTTAAATTGCATGTTGATGGTCAATTAACAAAATAGAAACGAAAAAACTGGATGGATATCTAAGAGATTTATGCGGATGGGGACAACAGCAAAACACAATGTGGAAATGGAACCAAGGTGTTTCGGGTTTTTTCTTTCTGAAAAAATGGTTTACATAGGTTTTTTTTTGGGAGGTTAGGTAGCTAGCAGCCATATTTCCCAGAGAGGAAGGAAGTCATTAATTGGAAAACTCAACCCAGCAGATATGTTTCGGAGTAATCACTTTTGTAGGCCTTGTAGCAGCGGTTGCCAACCGATCTTTTTCGTATCTCTCTCCACTGACGTTACACATAGCAGCCATTGTTTTCGTTTTCCACATTCATTTTTTTCTGTTTTTTATGCTTTTCACTTAACAGACAATTTTTGTTTTTTTTTTTTTCAAATTTTTTTCGTATTTGGTTTTGACCAGCAAAATTACAAAAAGAAAAAAATATTGTTGTTGTTGTTGTATAAAAGTTAAAAAAAAAAAACATTGATAATAATACAAAAATATGTTCAATTACGACATTTAGCAAACCTCTGAGTGCATGACAGAAATGTTTGGAAAAAAAAAACGGGATGGATCTAAGCCAAGCAACCACCATTGGCCATAAACGCAGCTGCCACCCCAGTATCCAGATCCACAAATTCGGCACCATCTCCTGTCAGCTGGGCCAACAGATCGGCCTCATGAAGATAATCATTTTTAATGGATATCTGCTCATGGAAGGGTACAATGCTGCCACTGCTATTGCCGCCTCCCATCAGGGTGGTGGCAAAGTCCAGCAGGTTGCCACCGCCATTGGTGTTCTGCAGCAAAGTCGGCCCGCCATGATTGTGGCTGATCGGCTGATGGACATTCACGGCATGCTTGATGTCCACGAAGCTATCACAATTGCTCTCGAACAGAAATCTCTCGGCCGATTGAGCTGTCGTATAGGGACTCTGGGAGTCGACCAGTTCGTTCTTCACGAATTCGGTGGCTGTGGTGGGAGTGGAGACACAGGACATGGGACTGGCCACACTGGCCAGCAGGGCACTGCTGTCGCCGCCATTGCTGCTGATGGGCGTCCGGCAGGTGGTGGGTGTGTGGGCCAGGGACAGGCCCAGACCGGAGTCACAGTTTGGAATGTAATCGGCCATGGAATGGCCGCCAACTAGGCTGGAAGCTGAGCTGTTAAGGGCATTCTGATGGGCGGTGGGTGTGCTTGTGTTGTTGCTGAGATGTGTCTGGACCTGCAAGGCGGCGGCCAGGCACAGCGAATTGCTGTCCTGTGAGGGCGAATTCAGATAGGCCAGTTCCTGGTGGGTGGTGGGCGAGGGTTTACAATAGCCATTGGGCAATTGTACAGCAGCGTTCTGGTGGTGCATGACCGAGGGCGAGTTCTGCGCCAGACTGGGAAGTTGAGATACAATTGAAACGGGATTGGTAAGAGCGGCGGAGACCACGGCTGCGGCGGCCTTGAAACCGTTACTGCGTGAAAATTTGATAGTCGACATCGGTGGGATAGCGGTGCGTTGCGGAGTGGCCTGTTGTAGGGCAGAGTTCGGATTGCTGTTGTTGTTGTTTGTAACATTCGAGGCAGATGCAGAAGTGTTGGCCGAATTCAAACCGCTCGCTACATCTTCCAAATTCAAATCCGCCAAATATTTAAAAGCAGGTGATTGCAACAGTTTCGAGGGCAAATTCAAACCACCCGGATGTATGCAGTTCGGTTCGTGGGCCTTTAGCATGTCTAAGAGTTTGCGTCGTTCCGTTTCCAGCTGACGCACCTGATTCTTTAAATCAACATTTTGATTGTCCAGCTGTTCGGCCTCCTTGATGAGATTTTGGGTGCGTTCGCGTTTCTTCATGCGACACTTGGTGGCGGCAATTTTGTTGCGCTCACGGCGACGACGACGCCGATCCTCGTCCTCGGGTGTCAGGCCCTTGACACTGTTGGGACAGCTCTTCTGTTCGCTGTCATCGTCGGTGGTCTCGTCGTATTCGTCGTTGGGTCGCGAACACTTCGACATGGGCTGTTCCGAGCCGGAGCTGGAATCACAGGTGGATAGTTTGCGTTTGCTTTGGATGGATAGCTTGAGACCGGCTTTGATTAGCTGCGAACAGGTCTGGAAAGAGAGGGAGAGATGAGAGAGGGATTAGAAAAGAAATTGAATTGGAATTTGAAAAAAAAAGTTGAGTAAAATTTTAGTTCCATTTGAACGAAGATGGATAGAAAAAGGACTTTTTTTGGTCCTTTGATCATAATTTGAATGAAAAAGGAACATAAAATATCGAGGAGGGGGAGGAGAAATAAGATAGGAATTAGAAAAAAATTTGATTTGGAATTAAAAAAAATGAGGACATTTCTGGGTCCTTTTTGTGAAATAAGGAGATAAAACATCTAGAAGAAGGAGGAAAAAAAGAGCGAAGAAAAATATATTTTTGAAAGTGGTCCTTCGATGAGGTCAAAGTTGAATACATATAGACTTCTGGTCCTTATGATTTCAATTTTCTCCTCAGAATCTCCAACCGAAATCAAAGTCTCCCTGCAGAGAGAAATCCCATTTTTTTATAAATTTTTGCGACCCTGAAACAAAAACGGCTACAAAACGTCAGTTCGTCTGACGCCTGTTAGCCAGCCGCCTGTCTGAACCACAAAACGTTTGTTGTTTCTCTTTTTTTCGTTTTTTTCGTTTCGTTTCTACGCAAAGCTTGACAAAAGCAAAATTTGTTGTTATAAGCTTAACTACGTCTCAAAATCTGACATGTCTAAAAAACGTAAAACTCGTCTGTCACCAATAACCAAATCCGTTAAAAAACGCAAGATTTTTGTTTTAGCTTTTTTGTTTCTACCTCTCTCGTGGCTGTTGTTGTTTTTGTTGTTGGATATTGCTATAAAAGAATTGAAATGAATTAAACAGTTGGGACGAAAGCAATATAACAGCAGGCCATCGGAGCTGAGTTGAGGAAAATATTTTTTTTTTTTGGCGGGGACAGGGTTTTGTTAAATTGATCAAAATTTTGGTAGGAAATGGCATTTAATTTTTAAAACTGACTAGAACTTTGGGGCGACATTAATAAGTAAACATAACCAGGTTGAAGATTTTTTGGGAGAAAAAATTTGTCGGTTTTGAAAATTGGTCGTATTTTAGATTTTAACCATTAGGATACTTGGGAATACAACAGAAGATAAACAGAACAATCTATAAAGGTTTTAGTGGGAAAAATTTGTCGATTTTGGGTATTATGAAATTTGGTCGGATTTGTTTTTTTTTTTTTTTCATTTTTTAATTGAGATATGTAGTAAAATTTGGATACTAAGCTATAAATGAAGAAAAGCTATAAACTAAAAATAAATTAAAAAATATACAGCCACCAATTTATTATTTTTTGGACGTAAATTGATTTTTTGGTCCTTCGATTTTTTCAAAATTTTACGTTTTTGGTCATTTTCCGCCATTTTTTGGTATTATTTTTTGCTAAAATTAAACCAATTAAAACCCTTCCTGAAATCTGAACATATTTTGAACGATTTTTTTTTTAAAAAATTCTGAATTGTTTTGGGTAACAAATTTTGGTCGATCGGGGATATTTTCAAATTTGGTCGTATTTTTTCTTGTCCTTTTTAAGCTTAGAAATGTAGTAAAATTTTGACACGGTGCTATAAACGGAGAAAAATTGCTATACAACTACCAATCAATTTTTTTTAGGAAAAAATTTATTTTTTTTCGATCCTTCGATGTGACCAAAAATTTAACCTTTGGCAATTTTTTGCCGAATTCAATTTAAAATGGAACCAATTGAAATCCTCCCTAAAACATAAACATATTTTGGCCGATTTGTTTTAAAGAAACTTGGGACCTCTGATTTTGGTCTTTTGGGGGTATTTTGAAAATTGGTCGGATTTGGTTTCGTCCTTTTTAAATTGAGATATAGAGTAAGTAAACTTTAGACATAAACGTATAAACGTAGTAAAATACTACACATCTACAAATTTATTATTTTTTGGGGGAAAACTAACATTTTTGGTCCTTCGATGTGACCAAAATTTTACCCTTTGGTATTTTTTCGCCAAATTTAATCTAAAATGGAACCAATTGAAAATCTCCCTTAAACATTAACATATTTTGACCGTTTTTTTTAAGAAACTTGGGACTTAAGAATTGTTTTGGGGTAACAAATATTTTCAAATTTGGTCGAATTTTTGTCCTTTTTAAGTTCAGATATGTAAAACACTTTAGACACAAGACTATAAATGGAGATAAAAATGATATACAACTACTAATTTATTATTTTTTGGGGGGAAATTATTTTTTGTTGGTCCTTCGGTGTGGCCTCTTTTTAGGATTTTGGTAACATTTCGCCAAATTGAATGGTTTTTTTTTCTAAAATTTAATTTTTTGGTCCTTCTCTGTGGCTAAAATTTAATATTGTTGGTAATTTTTCGCTAAATGCCTTCTTATGTGTTCTAATTGAAACTTCCAGCAGAAAGATGGAATAATTTGAATGTTTTAGGGGAAAGAGTTTTTGGCCGATTGGATGTTTTTTTTTTTTTTAAAATTTGGTCGGATTTGGTGTTTTCCTTTTTAAATTGAGATAAATTGTTAAATCTAGAAAAATATTATGCATCTCTCCATTCATTATTTTTTGGGCGAAATTTATTTTTTTGGGAGATTTTTTGCTTTTTGGGCAAATTTATTTTTTTGAGCGAAATTTAATAATTTTTTTTGGCAAAATAATTTATTTTTTGGGCGCAATTGTTTCTTTTTGGGCGAAATTTATACTTTTTTATTTTTTGGATAGAATTTAATTTTTTTTGGTGAAATTAATTTTTTTATTCTTTGGGCGAAATTTATTTTTTTGAGGGAAATTTAACTTTTTTTGGGCAAAATAATTATTTTTTTATTTTTTGGGCGCATTTTTTTCTTTTTTTGGGCGAAAATTATACTTCTTTTATTTTTTTTTTGAGTAAAATTTTATTTTTGGGCAAAATTGTTTTTTTTTTAAACGAAATTTAATTTTTTAGGGCAATTTAATTAATTTCTTATTTTTTGGGCAAATTTTATATGTTTTTTTTTTGGTAAAATTTAATTTTTTGGGCGAAATTTATTTTTTTGGGCGAATTTTAATTTTTTTATTCTTTGGGCGAAATTTTTATTTTTTGGGCGAAATTTATTTTTGTAGTGTAGTGGCAACATTTTCCCCTCTAAAATTTGAACATATATTTGGACCTCTTTTTGGTAGAAAAATAAAGTTTTTTGAAGTATTTGCTGTCTACCAATTTATCTATGCCCTGGCAACCCTATACCACCAGTCCCATATATCTCACATTTGGTACCTGTGCACACATCGAGTTTTATGTTTAATATTTTTTTCTCGATTTTCTTATTTTATTTGTTTAACCAAAATTGGTAACTTGGTCGAGATGTTTTTGGGATCACACATTATTGGGTTTGCATGATTTGTTCGAAATCATGCAATTACAAGTGAGCGAACATGCGACCGACAGAGTGGCAGACTGGCCGGCCAGTCAAACGAAAAAAAACCTCTTTAAAGTGGCCGTAAAAGAAACGTTTCTTTAAATGTCATTTCTAAATTGCAGGCGATTTGAAAGCCATGCTGCTGATAATCTGAGTAATTCTCACGATAGTATTGGAAAAAAAAAATGAAAAAAAATTATGGAGTTTTGTATTACAACTCCAAAAACCATAACTCCAAATGACACCTCAGTAGTCGTATAAGTCATAAGCTGTTGTGATTTATGACCATTTTTTGGAAAGAAAAAAATTAAAAAAAAATAAAGTAAAAAAAATAAAAGTGGCCCAGGATTCCACATAAGGAGTATGCCAAACATGCGTTTTGAATTATCGTGTGGGAAAGAGACAGAGAGGAGTAAAATATTTTTTATGAACTTTTGTATTTTAAGAAGTAAATCGGAAATATTTTTTATATTCAAGGGCTTTGAAAAATAATTTTTAAAAAATCCACATCAATAGCTGCGATTTGAAAAAAAATATTTTTGAACAAAAAACAAGCAAAAAAAAAAAAAAAAAAACATTTAAAAAAATAATAAAATTGGCCCAGGATTCCACATAAGGAATGTGTCGAATACGCGCTTTGTATTGAAATGTGGGAATATTTCTTAAATTAAATTAAAAATTATATTTCTTTATTTATATTAATATTAAAATTCTTTAACATTTTATTTTTTTTTTAATTTATGTTCATGGATAGACTTAAATTTTTTTTCTCAAAAATCGATGTCTTTAGAAACAAAAAAAAAAAAAAAAAAAAAAAAAATTAAAAAAAATTAAAAAATTAAAAATTTTATTTATTTATTTATATTAATATTAACATTCTTTAAAATTGTATTTTTTTAATTTATGTTCATGGATAGACTTTAAAAATGTTTTTTTTAAAAAATCAACGTCTTTAGAAACAAAAAAATTAAAAATTAAATATTATATTTCTTTATTTATTTTAATATTAACATTTTTTAAAATATTATTTTTTTAAATTTATGTTCACGGATAGACTTTAATTTTTTTTTTTCTCAAAAATCGATGTCTTTAGAAATATGATATTAATATTTCTAATATTAACATTCTTCAAAAATTTTATTTTTTTTAATTTATATTTAAATTTAATATATTTAAATTTTTAAAGTCTATCTAAGAAGACTCTAAAATTTTTTTCTCAAAAATCGATGTCTTGAGAAAAAAAATTTAAAATTATATTTATTTATTTATTTTAACATTCTTTAAAATTGATTTTTTTTAATTCATGTTCATGGATAGACTTTAAAAATTTTTTTTCTCAAAAATTTGAAAGACATCGATTTTTGAGAAAAAAAATTGAAAGTCTATCCATGAACATGGATTAAAAATAAAATAAAATTTTAAAGAATGTTAATATTAATATAAATAAAGAAATATAATTTTTAATTTTTTTTTAAATTTTAAAAAATAAATAAATTTTTAACTTAAATTCCTGCTGGTCTTAAAAATTTTTATACATTTTCCTTTTCTTTTTGTATTTTTAATTACTTAATTTTTCATTTTAGACAAAAAAAAAAAAAAATAAAAATTTCAAAAAAGTGAAAATATCTACGCCTGCCATAAATTCC